GGGCACGCACCGCGCGCACTCACTCTCCAAACAATGCTCTCCGGAGCCCGGCGGGGCTGCTGGCGGCTGGGCGACCGACCACGAGACCCGGGGAGCGCGGTCCCGAGGTGAGCCCTCGACGCTTTCTACAAATTCGGCCTCTTTTTGTCTGGCAAACGTGGCCGCCCTGGGGAGCTTTGGAGCAACACTGCGGTGGCCGAGCGGTCGGCGTGCCCCGGGGTGACAGACGGTGATTTGGGGGGGATGGAGCGTCCGGACCGCGTGCGCCCGAGGTTGTGCCGGAGGTGGAGGCTCCCAGCCGGGAGGACCCGGGAGTCGGGGTGATTTCGATTCATTCGAGAATCGCGCTCTTTAAAACGGGGAAACTTTCCCCCGAGTTCCAGGAGGGGAAGCAGACTGGTCTTGCTGCTCTCTTTGGGGAACAGATTGAAGCGTTCCCCCAAAGTCCCTTGCCTGCGTGGGGACTTGCTTTTCGCAGCAGGGGTATTGTCAAAGGAGCAGAGAGGGGTGAGGCCGCCCAGGCTGCTCGGACCAGGACCAGGGCTGATGGTTGAGGAGGGTGGCTGTCTCTGGTGCAGCAGCGGCTTAGATGCCAGCATCAGGGTCTTCAGAGGCAAGAAGATGCTGCTTTTTGCGGAGGCTTTGACTGAGCCCTCCATACTAGAAGCACGTTCTCAACCTTTGCTTATATTGCCCCTTCACACTCGCGACACACAAACACAGAGCGACAGAGAGAGAGAATATAGAACCTCTCCACTTCTCCAGTCCTGTAAATGGGAGTGGAGAATGGAGAGGCACTGGATGTGTCTCTCAGGTAAAACTCTGTGCAAGCACATGGCTTTGCAGAGCATATAGCATAGCAAAACCCAAAGGTCTAGGGGGAGGAGCTTTTCAGTCCAGAGTCAGGTTCGGTAGCTAAACTATCCTTGACAGCCCTTGCCTTTCTGAGACTGGAAGCTGACAGGAAGCCTTGGAGAATTCTGCATGGGTGCCTGGGGACTCCACTATCCTCCTTATGGGTTTAGTCTGTAGGAGATCCAACCCATGAAAACCACATTCCTGTTGCTGAGATTAAGTTACATAGCACTGGAAAAGGAAAAAAGAAAAGTGGTGTGAGTATTATGACTTACCTTCTGTGTGTGTGTGTTGGGGGTGGTGAGGCAGGGAATGTGTTAAGGTTTTCACTTTCTTCTTGCTGCCTGGGCAATCCCTGCCCATGGAATGTAGAAATCCAGACATTTTCCATACATATTTCCTTTCCTCATTGTTGATGTTGCATTGACTTCATTGTGAAATGTAAGCTTGTTTTAGATGAAGGCTTTCTAGAATTCTGTCACATAAAGGTAAGGCATAAGAACATTTTGATGCCGTATTGAGGGGCATTTGGAGCCCAAATATTTGAATTTATGGGTCAGGCTACCATTCTTCAGATTCTTTTTGAATTGAGGGTGGGAGTGTGTGTCTGACAGCTTCAGTCTTGCAAACTGTAGCCACAAATCTAGTGCAGAAGTTTGCAAAAGCAAAGATATTTTATCATCACTTGGATCAGAAGGAATGCTGAGATCTTTTTCTAATCTTACACTGCAGCCTCCCACTGAAATGGGCAAATTTGCATAATTCTGGGGGCTGCCTCCCCTCGGAGGTAAGGAATGTGGGCTGGGAAGGTGCCATTCCCAGGCTGTGGAGAGTTGGCATGGGTAGGCGCTGCTCCTTGCTTTGTGAGTGCCACTTGAGTTTTTTCACCATCTTTACTTAAAACAAACAGGAGATAATTCCAGGCACAGAACCTCTCTAGACAGCTGGAACTGGAAGGATCATTTCTGGCTTGACATGGTGATCAATTATGTTTGCTGCATCTTTGAACAGCAGGTGTAGTGAACATTGTACCCACTAGCAGGGCATTTCAGCCCTGAGGATGGGAGGGAAGAGAGTACCAGTAAACCAGTGAGGCGTTCCAAAGGAGCGTCCTGAGAGTTAGTAATCCAGAGAATACTGGAAGGTCCTGGGCTAAAGTGGTCTGTAGGCTCTAAAGGAGGGGGAAGGGGGAGGGCTCTACGCTCTACCAAGGGAGGCCCCATCACAAGTTTGTTTCTTGGTTGAGGAGGAAATGTGGGGTGGCTACCCAGAATTGCTTGTTTGCATGTATGGTTGCCCCAAGGTCGTGGTTGGATGTCCACCTTTTCAGAGAGCCCTGCTTTATGAAAAGCAGCAAAAAGAGGAGTCCACACATAGATGGTTTACATGCTGTCTTTCTCCATTCCCTACAGCAGTGCGTGGGAGCCCCCTACCCCACTGCAAGGGAGGCAGGCAGGATTTTCTGGTCTGGGAAGGCCTAGACAGTCTCCCTCAGCTCCCCAGGACATACTTCACCTGCAGTAAAGGATATGGAGACTTATTCCAGAATGCTTTCTGGAGCTCTGAGAATGAAAGCTCTCTGTAGCCTGAGATTTAAGAAAAAGAATAATCCTTGCTATTCTCCTCTGCTTGTTGAAGCTTAGTGACCTCTTCTGGGGAACTTGGCAAGAAACGAACCTGCTACTTGGACATGTTTAGGACTTCACCAGCAGTCATCTTAAAGAAGGAGGCATACAATCCTAACAACAGTTGCTGGAAGACAGTTGCTTGTCTTATTTAACAGTATTCATTTAACTTAAAGATGCAGTGGTCTTCGTGGTTAATTTAGCTTTAGCACTTATTGAATAAGCATCCCTGGCTGTGAGTGTGGGAGTCAAAAAAGAGTGCTCTTCCCACAAAGATTCTGAAATAATCTTTGGGGCTTCTGGCTCATTCAACCTGGTTAGTCCTGTTGATAGTCCAGAGAACATCAACCTCAAAGCACATTCTCATGGGAGGAAAGTAAATGAAAACCCCAGGGCAAACCCTCCCTATTTAATGACAATCTGTTCACCTCCTTTTCTTAACAAGGTTTTTCTCATGAACACGCTCCTTATAAGAAAATCAGTTTATTTCAATGCCGAAAAAAAGAAGCAACAAGCAGAAAACAGATAATGGCAAGCAATTTAGTAATTGAGTGGTGTGATGAGGTAAAAGACAAACAGCAAATTCAGTCTCTGTGTCTACAGACTAACACCAAACTCTCTGTGTCTACGGACAGGTCTTAGTTTAGATCATTGCCATTGTTTCCATGTATGGAAAACGGGGCTAACAGTTCCTTGACAAGTGTGTTTCCTGGCTAATAGCGGCTTCCCTTTGCGCTCCTCTTTCTTAGGGGTAAATTTAGCAGATTCTGTGGTAAAAGTTGCTTTCAGTTTTACTCTACAGGAAACTAACTTTTTCAGAAGGCTAACTGACTAACTAGCCTTCCAGGTTATCAGAGGAAAAATAAGTGGGTGATCACCCTCCCTGCTTTTCTACACAGCCACCCTGAAGTGTTCTTCTTTTGGTGTCTTTTGGCCCACACCTCCAACTCTGTTGACCTCACAAAACACTGTATTAAATGACACATATATTAAGAAGCAAGGGGGACCAGAGAGGACAGAGCCCCGAGATACCAAGTGTCCTGAGAAAGTTCGCAGGGACCAGGTCAAGCACCACACCTCTCCCCTTTCTCGTGACTCAGCCCCAATCTGGTCAGGAGGGTGGATCGCAATGCTGATTTCAAGGTCCAGGCTTGCCATTCAGCTTACAAACTTCTTGGTGTAAAATGGTGGTTTCTTAACTACGAGGTAGTACCTAATTTGCTGTACTACCTCTTAGTTCTTGTTCTCTGGGGCAATGCCCCACCTTCTAGACCCTAAGCAGTAGTTTATTCATATAGGATGACAGACTTCTCATTTTTAGCCTTGTGATTTCTTCCTATTACAGCCCCCAGACCTCCAAGTGCTCAGGATTTTTAAGGACTGAAATGTCTTTTATGCTCTTTGTTCATACATCAGAGGTGTGTTTAGTTTTTTACAGCTTCTGATAAGGCCACACCACTAGAGAGTGACTAAGAACCTTATGACAAATGGGAAAGGGCCTTGAAATAAATGGAATATTAATCTCTGCCTGTTTCTCCTTCCGTTCAAATAATCAAACTCTGATAATGTACCCATTTTCTAGCCAAGGAGCTCTCTGACCAGCCAACTGTCCTGTCTTTCCAGGAAGCTTCTCTGTCAGCCACACCTGCCTCCCACAAGACCACACCAGAGAGCCGGACACAAGATGAACCAGCATATTGCCCGCTCAAGATGCAGCAGACCCTCCGACTAAACCCCAAGAGCCTGAAAATGTCTGCGTGCAGTGACTTTGTGGAGCACATCTGGAAGCCTGGGTCCTGCAAGAATTGCTTCTGCCTAAGGAGTGATCACCAGCTGGCCCCCAGCCAGCCCCAGCATAGGGCCGGCAGCCTGCCCCCTCCACCGCGCCTGCCCCCCAGGCCCGAGATCTGCCGCCCTGAGGATGAAGGTGTGAACAGCTCCCCCTACTCCAAGCCCACCATCGCCGTGAAGCCCACCATGATGACCTCTGACGCCTCTGATGTGTGGACAGAGGCGAACATGAGTGCCGAAGTCTCACAGGTGATGCTGACTAACCCCGTTGGTATTTTTATAGGGGCTGCTCTTATTGTAACACTCAGTGACTGGCTGGCAGCCAGGGAGGGCTGTTAGAGCAAGACTCCTGCAGGATGGCTTCCCGTCAGCTTGCCCAAAGATTGTTCTTTTCTGACGCTGCCCTCCTCTCTATCTGTCCCTTTAGGCTTAGAACTATTAATTCTGTCCCGTAGAGTTTATTTGGATACTGCGTTAGTTATTTACTTGGAGACTGTGAAGACATACAATGTGAATTTTTTTCATCAAGTTTTAAAATTGTCCTTATTGCTCATTTTCCATATATGCTCAAGTACCAATAACTGTATCACAAATCCCCTGCATCAAAGGCCAGTGACCATCAACTTGTGAGCAGGCGTGGTTCTCTCAACAACTCCTCCTGCCCTGTGATTTGAAAGCAGGCCTTGAGAATCTTGACATTTCAATATAGCTTTTAAAATATAAAATCTTTATATAAAATGTAACCAAGATCCCACACTTAAAGCTATGATATTAGCAGTCATTCCTTAATACCACCCAATTTCCAGCCAGTCTGTTTGCTTCTAACTTTGAAGTTTTGATTTGACAAGGTTTAATCGAGGGTCACTAAGACCAGTTACATCCTTAGATATGACCCATTCTGCTCATCCCACAGGTAACCCACTAAAGGTACAATAAGTTAGAAGACACACAGATCAAGGCTAGTAGAGCCTGCTACCTCTAGACATGCCTACAGAGCTGCTTTCCAGGACATATTCTAAGAATTACTTGTGATCTGTTTGTCCTCTCTGCCTGTTCTAGTTTGGGGTAACAAGCGTGAGAGCAGAGGTCCGTTTTAAATCAGAGGAGGCTCACCTGAGGAGAGGTCTCTTTTCTATGATTGCTCCAACTTCCACGTCCTCTTCAGAGATGCTGTGTTTCATGAGCTGGTCATATCTGTTCACCAGGCTGTTCTCACTGTCTTCATTCTTCACAGACATAAGCCAGGGACTCTGTACATTAGAACCATCTTGGAAAGGAGCCAGATGCAGGCTGTACTTTGACTTTGCTTCTGAAAGTGGGAGTCAGGCTCCTTCAGAAGGGAAAGGAATAACCAGTCTACACCTCTGTCTCCCAGCCCAGCTAGTCCAGCCACTAAGGCAGACACCAGCTGAGGTCACTGGTGTCTGAGAGGAAGAATTTCTCTTCCGCGTGGCCCGGAGAGCAGCAAGGGTCAGCACCCAACTCAGAAACCCCACCCTTCATTCTCCTCCCCTGCCCTCACCGCTCTCATGCTAGATGTTTTTAAAAGTCTTGTGATTTGGTTTCTTCAGGAATGTACCTTGACACAGTTATCAAAGGACTAACGAACACTAAGCCAAAATTAAACAAAACCCAAAACTATGTTCAAAGCCCACTGGAGAGCTTATCTCATCCAGCAGTTTCAAGGGAGAAACCAAAATGTGCTTTATTAGAGTTTCTTTTCTCTCCACCTCACAGGCCTAAACCCAAAGAGTTACAGACTCTGGATAGGAAAGACAACTGAGTATCTGGAAGGCCAGTGGCTCCACGGGTTCCCCAACAGTGATGAGAGTCTGCGGGGAGACCAGAGGGTGGGGCTGCTGCACAACGGCTTCCTCCCGCAGCCCAGCCAGCTGCAGACAGTGTCACGGCACTCCCTTGCACTTTTTCTCCATTCCTTTATTCTCTGACTAGGGCTAATATACGTCTTTTCACTCTGGGACTGTGTAGGTCATCTGGAGACGAACCCCTGGCAAACTCCCACTCTCCAAGCAGGAAGACCTGCCAATCGTTTACCTGGGCAGCTTCCGTGGCCCACAGAAGCCTGCTGGGCCCCCTGCCACCACCGACGGCCACTCTCACTGTTCCCCGGCTTACACCATGGTTGGCCTGCACAACCTAGAGGCCAGGGGTGAACGGAACACGGCCTTCCACCCAGTGGGGGTCTCGGATGACAAGGCCAGGCGAGAAGATAAGTCCACATTTTCCTACCCAGAGCCGCCCTCCACTCAAGAGAGCTTCCGCCAGAAACTGGCCACCTTTGCCGGGATGACGCCTGTCTGTCACAAGGGCCCCGGGCCCTGCCCCTCTTCACAGCCCCTGCGGGAGTCCCCGCGCTCCGAGGATGACAGCGATCAGAGGTGCTCACCCTCAGGGGACAGTGAAGGTGGGGAATATTGCTCCATCATGGACTGTTGTCCCGGGAGCCCTGTTGCCAAGGCCACCTCCCAGGCCGAGGACGCTAGGCACAAACATGGTGGAGGGGACTGCCGGCCAGTGTGCTGGGAACCGGGAACATGCCCAGGGGCAAATGAGGAGGAGAAGCGGGTTTTGAGCTTCCCAAGGGAGTGCTGTAGTCCAGGGCCCCCGACAGAGAACCTACCCCGCCTGGGCCCCAAGAAGCCATCCCTTACCTCAGAGCCCGCCACTTCTTCTGATGGCCTGTCCTGCAGGAGCGGAAGTAGTGGTGCTGACAGCCCCTTTGCCCCCCATCTCGAGAGTGATTACTGCTCCCTCATGAAGGAACCTGCACCTGGCAAGCGGCAGGACCCTGGCTGCTCTGTAGCGACCTCCAGCAGGTACCTTGGGCTGCCTGCGGAGACCCAGCCTCCTGCCCTCTCCAGAGGGGCTGTCCCCTCTGAACCCATCTATGCTGAGAGCACCAAGAGGAAGAAGGCAGCTCCAGCACCTTCCAGGGCACAGGCCAAGGCAGAACCCATGCCGACAGCCCAGGGCCAGTTATGGACAGCTAACACCTGGGCTCAGAAAACAGCATCTGGCTGGAGTCGGGACAGGGATGGCCCAGATGCAGCCCCCCAGGTGGCAGCCACCATCACAGTCATGGCAGCCCACCCAGAAGAAGATCACCGGACGATCTACCTGAGCAGCCCCGACTCTGCGGTGGGGGTGCAGTGGCCACGCAGGCCAGTGAGCCAGGACTCTGAGGCAGGAGAAGAGGAGACTTCAGTTGTGCAGGGACTGAGCTCGAGGGAAAGCCACCGTCACGATACCAGTGAGAACACGCCCAAGGGGAGGCCGGCCATTCCCCCCAAGTTGTCCAAGAGTAGCCCTGGGGGGTCTCCGGTGTCACCATCTGCCTCCCCCCTGTCCACCCTCAGTGAGGGGAACTCCAGTGGTGGTGTTGGATCCCAGCCTTCATCCAAGAGTCCCACAGACCCCGCTCTGTCCTGCCGAGCCAACAGTGTAGCTACCAGTGACTCTGTCAGGGGCCCCCCACCCACCATCACTGCTGCCTCAGCCTTGGACCAGAGGCGGCCCCGCTATCAGACTGGGGCCTGGAGTCGTCAGTGCCGGATAGAGGAAGAGGAGGAGGTGGAGCAGGACTTACTGAGTCAAGCCTGGGGAAGAGAGACGGAAAATGGCACCCTGGACCCCTCAAGCTCCTCGACTTGGCACCGTCTCCACCCAACAGACAGCTCCTCTGGGCAGAACAGCAAAGCTGGGGCCGGGATGAGCAAGTCAGCCTCTTTTGCCTTCGAGTTCCCTAAGGACAGAAGTGGGATAGAGGCATTCTCACCTCCTCCGCCACCTCCAAAGTCGAGGTGAGTACGCTTGTGTGTGATCGGGACTTGTCTGGCAAGTCACAGCACTCTCCCAGAAAAACCTTTGCCTTTGCCACCCCCACTACATTGCAGGCACCAGGGTTTCCCTGTAGGCTCTTGTGCTTTTGTGTGAATTTCTGAGAGTTGTTGCTCATGTTTGTGCTCGGCAAGCAATGCCCTGCTTGGGATGGGTGATTTGGATTGGATCTTTGAGAGAAGCGCTGCCAAGCTGTTGCTCTTTCATACTGTGCTCATATTTTTATAATCTGGTACTCTTCTTTTCTCCCCATCTCTCTGAAGTATCTTCAACAGTCTTTTTTCAGGAAACCCTGAAATTCTCCATTTACTTAAGCATGCACAAGAGGCCCAAGAAGGCTGTATGCAGAAGTTGGAGAGGCAAATAGCTGGGAAGGAAATGGGCAGGCAGATGCATGCTCCAGAAATTGTCACCTCAATGGCGAGAGAGCCGTAAAGCCAAAAGCAGACTAGGAGGTTCTGCGTGTGGTTAGTAACCCTCAGATGTAGGTTTTTAAAGAAAGAACAATGTAGTTTTGCTTTAGCTCACTGAATCTCATGCAGCGTTCTCCCCTGCTTCACTGCTCTCTTGCCAGGTGAAAGTTAAAAGGCTCAAGAAAAGGCCTTTTTTAAGATACAGAAATGTTCATGGAATTTAAATTCTGGAAAGAAAAAAAAAACTTCTATTAGTGCAAAACTGATTCCTAGCAGGGAAAGGAGAAACCTGTTTATTTTTCAAAGAATGACACCCTGTCCAAACAGACTTTCTCTAGTCTCGTCACTCCCAGGGCTTCCAGTCCAGTTCATGTGCCTCCAAGTTGATGTCAGACGCAGGGAATTGACCACAGAAAGAAGCAGCTGTGGTCTTGACTTTGAACTTGAAGGTGTCTCAGGCTGGACTCTAACCTGGGCTTTGCTCTGGTTTGGCACTGGTGACTTGCCATGTGAGATGACTCCAGGCTTCAGGTGATTACAGAATCTCTTTGGCTACCGTTTTAACTCCTCAAGCAAATGAGGTGTTCAGCAGCTGGAAAGGGCTCCCCTTTACATGGCACTCACTATGAACTGAACAGCGGCTAAGGGAGTGAAGACATATTAATTCTTAATCCTCACGACAACCCTAGGAGACAGGAGTTACTGCCCCCGACTTCCCTTGGACAAGCTAGTGATAGAGCTGCAGCAGCCTGTCAAGCTTACACCACCGGCCCAGGCAGTCTGGCTCCAAAGTCTGTGCTTCTACACTACAAAGGACACATCAGTGGGGTTGGGAAGTGAGTGGGGACTGGGCATGAGAGTGAAACATGGGATTGCATTTGACCGCCTCAGCCACGGTAGTTAGTGAGAAGCACGGGTCTGGGTGTCAGGAAGTCAGGTTTATCCATCTCATCTCCAGGCTGAATGACCTGGAGCAAGCTACTCACCATGACTGAGCATGCAGGTTGCTCTCTCTAGAATGGGATGGTAATGATACTTTTATAACACCCTGTTGTTTCCGAAAGGCTCAGGTAAAGTGAGCGCAATCCAGTGCAGAGGTTAGTTAGCCTGCACTTTTGACTTTGACAGTGACCTCTCACGCCCTATTGGAGTGGGCTTGGCCTCATTCCAGGAACACCACTGAGCATGCAAGAAGGAACTAAAACCTTCTCACTTAAAAACCCTAGGGCTTGGCCCTCCCTGGTGGCGCAGCAGATTAAAGCACTGCACTAAGAAGCTCAAGCCACTTCTGCATGAGTTCTGATCCCCCCCTGCCCCGGAGGTGACCACATGGCGGGGCAGACCTCTCCTGACCCGCCCGCTGTTTCCCTCAGCAGTGTACTTCTTGATCTGCCTGTCCTGCTTCCCACTCTGTCCCTGGTGAATTCTCTCACTCTCCACATCTCTGTACCCCAGTTCTGTATGAATAAAATAAATAAATCTTAAAAAAAAAAATCATAAGGCTTGGAGAAATTGCAGTCACCATAGCAACATGACTCAGGTAGGGTTTTCATTAGCATCTGGGATGAGACCAGAGTTTGGGGCCCTGTTTGCTATTAATAAAACCATTGGATGATGTACAGCTCCCACCAAGTGGGAATCTCAGAGATTCCAGGGTCTAGATCTTCAATAATTTTTAAAACAAAATAACAACACACCAAAGACAAAAAGTTCTTATTGGTAGAATTTTGGAGAGAAAAATCTAGGAAATAAAATTAATGAGCTGTATGAAATGCAGTAAAAAGGAGAAAAACATCTGGTACTATTTAAAATAAAGTATATACTATATACTTTACTGGGGGAGAATTTTTCAAGTATTACTGACATTATCTCTTTAATCATCAAATCTCCCCTATGAGAAACTAAGGCAGGCTTGAGACCATTACCTGACTTGCAATTCTGGATTTTGAACTTACTGAATTCTTCTGAGGAGAGTTCCATCACCCCACAGTCTTCAAGGCCAGTGGGTCAGGATGTCTGGAGACCAGAGCGTTAATGAGAATGCAGCCCACACTTGATCTGCACTCCCACATCCAGGACCATGCTGCTAATTGGGACTGGCTGATGTCAGTTTTCCAAAATGGAAAAATGTCGCAGTGTCTTTGAGAGACATACAAGGTTAAGGCAATTTTTCTATATGGACCCCTTGTTCACTGGGTCCTATCTCTAAGGACCAGCCTCATCTGTGAGCGAAGATGGCAAGCCTCATGATGTATGTTCCGTACACTTGAAACGAGAGAAAGGGGTTCCCGTGGGGCACTGTTAGTTTTCACTTACACTTATTAGATCGGCCTGCTTTCCAGGACCATTATGGAAAAACAAAAAATAATGATTTTCTGGCTTGCCTGTGGTTCTGTTTTCCACGACTGACTCTGACTTGAATGAAAGAAAAAAAAATAGATGTCGAAAATGTTTTTGCCTTCCTGCTGGCCCTGTTTTAAATTGTTTGGCAGTGGCTTATCTGTCCACTAAACTCCCATGAGAGTCCCTGAGAAACCTCTTGCTGAAATGCCATGTAGGACTAGAACTCTCAGTGTTCATTTTACACTCCGAACAGCACTTCTGTAAAGGTGTTTACTACCCTGCCCTCCTCAGGGCAGGTCAGCCAAAGTGCGGGTCCCTCTTTCCTTGCTGCTGCCATGCACAAACCTGCACTCCCCAACGCACACCTCCTTGGGGTGATGGACCACACTGAGTCTCTGAGTCACCTCTGCCCCAATTTAGGGAGAGTTGGAAGGTGAGGATTGACAGGTACAGCTGGTTGGGAAACTGAAAACTGCAGGAAAGTCTTCTGAGTGTAAATATCACGCTCAAGACATAAAGTATTTAATGAGAGCAGTAGAGCCTGGGGGAATCATTAAGATGCAAGAGAATCAAATTTATTTCTGCCTTTTACTTCTTTGTATATGCAAACTTGGTTTTAAATATGACTGATGACTCCTGAGTGACAGGGTCAGTTGAGGGGGTTCCAGCTGATTAGTGCAGATGAATTTTTCATAAAGAAAGCCCAAATTAGTATGATGGATCTGAACTCAAAGTTGGAATTAAAGGGAGACAAGTGAATAAGAAATATGACAGGTTTATATGGTTTCATTTTCCAAATGGTCTTGCCCCAGGTGAGACTAACCAAATTTGGAGAAGTTGCTCCAAGAAAGTGGGAGGTATTTTGGTTTTAAAGTTAATGCCCTTGATAATTGTAATTTTAACCCATTACTTTATGAAATTCTTCTCCTCTGCAAGGATTCTGGGAACAGAAACTTGAGTCTGTCATTGGGCTTTCGCTTATTCATAATTCCCTCACACATTCCCATGCTGACTCTCTGCAGAGAGGTAGTCAGTGTCATAGATGGAGCTCTTTTCTAGAAACTTCTTCATGTGGGCTCTCTATATAGCATGGTTTTTCAGCATGAGCCCCAAAGATAGGAATAGGATGAGTGAAATGGGTACTTCTCTCCAGGCCCCACATCTAATCTCATTGAAACTCCAAACACTATTCTGTGTGTGTGTGTGTATAAAAGTTTATTTTTACATCATTTTGTGCATGTTTTCATCTCAGTTGTAATCCCCGTGGGCTTCCCATCACCAAATCACCCATGTGCCATCACCATAGTCCAGTGTATTTCCCTCCCCCCACTGTTTTTGATCCCATTCCCCACTCCACCCCCATAGAGTGTCGCTGGTATATAGCTGTTGATTATTATTATTATTTTCTCGCCTGTTCCGTTATACTCCTGCTATGACTGAAACCATCCAGTATTCTTCCTTTTCTTTCTGGCTTGTTTCACTAAGCATGATCTTCTCCAGCTCTATCCATGTTGCTGCAAAAGGCATGTTTTTACTTATTTATTTTTTTTGATTCCTGAGTAATATTCCGTTGTGTATATGTACCACCTCTTTTTAATCCAGTCATCCACTTTTGGGCTGTTTCCATGACTTTCCAATTGTAAATAAAGCAGCAATAAACATGGGGGTGCAGGTATCTTTTTGAATCAGTGTTTCTGTGTCTTTTGGGTAGATATCTAGGAGTGGGATTGCTGGGTCATATGGAAGCTCCATGTTTAACAGTTTGAGGAACCTCCAAACAGTTTTCCATAGTGGTTGTACTAGTTTGCATTCCCACCAGCAGTGCAGGAGAGTTGCTTTTTCTCTGCATCCTTGCCAACATTTGTTGTTGCTAGTTGTTTGAAGATGTGACATTCCATTGAGAAGAGGTGAGGTGGTATCTCATTGTGGTTTTAATTTGCATCTCCCTGGTTACAAGTGATGTTGAACATTGTTTCATATGCTTGTTGGCCATCTGCATTTCCTCTTTGGAGAAGTGTCTTTTTAGCTCTTCTGCCCATTTTCTGATGGGGTTGCCAAACACTATTCTTAAAGCACTTTCTACTGGTATGGATTCTGGTAGGAAAGCAACAGTTTACTAGGAATTCCCATTGTCTGGATTTGTAATGGACTTTTCCCTGTGGCATTTTGAAAACCAGTTTATATTTGAAAGTATTACATATTCTTCA